AGGGTTTCGGACCTTGAGGTCCAGAGAATTCCAGCCAGTGATTGGGGATGGAAAAAAAAGGACTTTTGAAATCGAGAACAGTTCTGCAAGGAATATAATTGTGTGAAATTTTCCCTTGATGTAAGACGGAAACCTGTAAGTTCACTAGGTAGCTTGCGAAGTAATTCAATTAAGTAATACGGGGCAAGGTTCTTAGTTATTTGGTAAAACTGAATTGGCTTAGCTTGTGTAGTTATGTATTTTTGTTGTTGTTGTTGTTGTTGTTGTTGTTGTTGCTGTTGTTGCTGGTTATTTCTTGACCCTTCTTGGTTTTCGAAACTGGAAATGATGTCAAAATAACTTGAGAACGACTGCCTTAGGAATATTTAAAGACCTGCCTATTGATAGAGAGGTTCTGTTATCTTGCATTATCTCTACTTCTCTAATTATTGGGCTACTTCAGTTGGAGGGCAATAAAATGCAGGAAATTAGCCTTGTTCTAAACGAGCAAGGGACTGGAATCTAAAATCTGGAATAACTGAAATTGAGAAAGATGATAGAAAAAAATCACTTCAACAGTGTCCAAGAAATGAATCCAGTGTATAGGAAAAAAGAAATGTTTTCGAGTGTTGTTAATTTTCGCTGCTTTACTGCTTAAACCACAAACTGTAACTGTTAACCAAAAATGTATGAAATCCTTCATCAAGCCAAATTTTGCTCGTTAGAGACTAACAATGGTCAATTGGACCGATCTATGGCGAAAAAGAAAGTTTTGGAGAAAATTTGTGCTTTTCTTTAAAAAGAGACTAGAGTTGAACAACCGGTTAGTACCTATATACGTGGCCCGGTTGTGCAAAAGGTGGATAACGCCATCCATTGGATAAACATATCATTATCTGGACAGGGTTACTAATTTTTCTGGTGAATAGAATTAGCCATCCTTTGATAGCCCTTGATCAACCTGGCCCCGACAGGAGCGCATTTCTTTCCCGGAGAAGACTGGAGAGTAGCACAAAGTCACAGCTGATTGGCGTCAAAGCCATGTTTACGCGTCAGAAATCTTTCAACACGGCAACCCTAAAACACGGTAACCGGAATCCCGAAGTCCTAGAATCTAATCTGGACAAGAACCGCGCTCCACCTTCGGTCAGGTTGAACAAAGGATGGGTACTGAGCTCTATCTACCCCCAAAAATCACTGACCCTGACTGAAGAGTGAGTTGCCCAATGATAGCGGATCCACCTTTTAAACAACTGGGCCAGATCAGAAGCATATCACCTCGAACAAGGTGATATGCTTCTGGCCAGATGCATAGCTAGGGGATGTTCAAAACATGTGGTTGAAGCTGAAAGCAAAGGGGAAAAAAAACAACAATAAAATAATTTGTCCCTTATTTATTTATTGGACATTGCTGAAGTAAATTGTTTCTGTCGTCATTCTCAATATCAATAATCTGGTTTCCGAATTCCAGGATCCCGGGTCTGATTTCGGTTTCCTGATTCTCCCCTCCAAACCATATCACAGCTTTCCAAAAGTGTATTTCATCTTTCTGTTTGAACTAAAAACACTGACATTTGGTGAACTATGCTCAGTTTTTCAAAATAATAATTATCAATTTTAATTATTCATACCCAGTCTCTTGCTCGTTTCGAACCAAAAACCACACTAGATACCAAGCCCCTAGTTTGCAGCGTCCAACATGGCGGATTAGACTGGCAAGGGGGCAACGCTGGCGCTTTCGTCTGGAAACTTGGCAAACCTGGAGCAAAAATGTTAAACAGCTACATTTTTCTGTCATTCAAGGTATTACTGATTGAAAATTGAGCTTAAATACTTTATTCCACCCCATCATCAATTCATCAATTTATTCGACAACAAAGAACTTCAAAACACACCTGTTTAGCAATTTTGTCTCGGTTCGTTGGAGACAAGTCATGCATTGAACATGATGTGTGATGAGTTGGTTCCTGTTTGAAGTAAACATTGTCGTAGTTAGCTTATTCTAGCACGGTTCATTACTTCTGCAAACTGCGCTCGCTTATCGAGCTCGAGGTTATTAGCTGCAATTAGCCATGATTCTGAGATCTTTATACGTTTGCTACTAGCTTGACCAATGTAGTCCAGTTATGTACTCCTTTGTCCTGTGGATAGACGAAAGATTCACTTCTCTCTGTTTTGTGACTTTTGTGCTTGTAGCATCCTGCGATATTTTGACTCTTCAAGGTACGTATATTACAGGTTCCATTAAAAGCTGGGCACCGGGCAAATTGATCGGCTGTGAGGACCATTTTGCCTCCCTGGTTTGACCATCTAGAGGAAAGTTTTTCTTATAAAGAAGTTCAGTTCAAAAACTTTTGCCCGTCTGTGAAAACCAGTTGCCCTCCTGCTGAAAACGTTAATGAAACACTCAGCTACATACATGTAAGTCAGATAACGTTCTAAGGCTGCCATGCAAGGCTTGTTTTGAGAACTTGTACTAGATAAATATGAAGGCCTCACTTGAGAAAAACAGTGGAGCATCTTGTGATATACGCCAACTGATCCTGGCGATAAGACAATAATCTGCAATTATTTCTGTTGTGAACTGAATATTGTCAAACACTAGTCACTATGACTCTACAGTAGCTATGTGCATGCTGTAAATCCCAGAGGCCTTGAATACCCAAATATGGCAAGAAATTGTGAGACACTATGTGATTTGGAAAAGTGTCTTGATTATTCCTTATCCTGTACACTCCCTCAGTATGCCTTTTCTTATGATTTAGAGACACATCAATCCACACAACTGATGCAACCTAATTAAAATTCTTTGAGCACTTAGAAGAAGGAGGTTTTCGCAGCCTCGCATGTGTTTAATTTACTGAGAAGCCTCTTTTTACTCAGGTTTTTAGTCTTACTACTACTGGCAATTTCATTGCTGTATGATTGATGTCTTCTGTTTACTATATATGCTATTGTGCTATGCTAGATTCTAATGGATCTGTACTATTATAGTTAAAGACGCTTGTATTTTTAGTACTTTTGTTTCTTCTATGACAGGTTTTGCAGCTGGTGAAATCCAATATAGAAATGATTTTTCTCAAAGCACTTTGTTCAGAGTCAAAAGGAACCTTGGCAAGAGCCGTGATAAGAGGCAGAATAATGTAGTTTCAAATATAACAGTGCAGGTATATCACACAAGCTCTTCCATATATATTCTTGACACTAATATCTGTACTTTGAGCACACTACATATACACTATGATGTAAGGCAATGTCGGCACACACTTTCAGTACAAACTCTCCTTACAATTCTTAATACATTTCTAGACCCCCCTTTTAGTTTGGAAAGTTTGATTAGAGATCAATTTCCCTTGATTGATTGAAGGATGAAAAGGAAAAGGTTGGATAAGGAAGAAAGCTAGAAATCATTTAAATCTATATTAATTTTATTTATCATTTGCTATCACCAATTACATGTAATTTGGACTGAAAAAGAGAGCTACAGTGTAGCAGTCTCAAGTACTGCAAGCACTTACTATCAACGTGAATGATGTACACATGCAGCCATTATATCACGGTCACAAATCACAGTTCAAGACTATGCTAAGTTTCCACTAGAAAGCTGTTTTAACCAATGAGTTTCTGAAAGCAGGCCACCAGCCCATGGTCCATGACATGCCCCACAGCCTCAGGTAGCCAGTTACTCACTTCACATCCTGTAAACCCATTCCAGATATTTCCCATACTTTTTATTGCAGTCTGGCTCTGTATAAAATAATGCAGACTGCAGATCAACAAACTAAACCATGTTCAAAAACTAATTAAAGCCTAGCCCTGGAAATAAACTGTACCATAAAACTGACCCATTCCTAAAAACTAACTCAATGCCATGTAGATTTAACTGTGAAGCCTAACAGTTAGCTTTGAGGATAAGATTAATTTTAGATTAGTACCTAGGGTCAGTGTTCATTTGTAGGGTTAAGGTGAAGGTGAAGGTTAGTCTGCAATCAAAAGTATGTCTGGATCGTCAGCCACCAGCTTGCATTAAGCAAAATCCTTAGTCTTTCATGCAATATAATGTTAAATGCAAATTATCTGACACTGATTGTGTTGTTCCATAAAAAATCCATATGCTTCCCAGGGAGGGCTTTTTTGGTTTAAACCCGCTCCCCATCCCTCTGAAAATTCCAGTTTTGGTTCATGGTTAAGTCTGCATATGAACCAAGTGGCCAATCAGGCTGGCACTGTATCTCTCCCCTTAGATGGAATGCTAGTGCATCACAGGGTTTCTTCCAGCATTACATTCCCCTGTACTCATTCATACACCTGAGTGGAGAGAGGCACTGTGAGAGTAAAGTGTCTTGCCCAAGAACACAACACAGTGCCCCCGGCCAGGGCTGAAGCTCAGACTGCTCAATCAGCAGGTGAGTGTACTAACCATGAGGACATTTCACTTCCCATAGTTTTGGTTCATACTTTCCTTTAAAAATTTTGGTCTGTGGGACCCCTCCGCCTTCAAATTTCCAATCACTGTCCTTGGGGTCTATGTGGATATTTTCGGGAACAACACATTCAGTCTATTTCTAGTAAGTCACTTAGAGATGGTTTTTAATCAATAAGGTGTTATTCTCAGCTATGTTTTGATTTTCAATTCTACATTAATTTTTCTTGTAGGATCATCACAAGTACTATTCAGTAGAGATCTTTCATGATGGTTTACTCCATGTGTGGTCTGATCTTAGAGAGAAATTAGAGAGTGTACATGATGAGCATTTATCAAATAGCAAGCTGGCCATTAAGAATGTCAAACTGTCATTTGGTTTTCCTTACTATGGTCATATGGTGACGAATGTAACTCTCACCACTGGAGGTAATAAAGCATGCACAAATTACATGTAGCATGCAACTTCATACAGTGAAAGAAATAATAATTTCATCAAGAACATTCAAAAGAGTAAAATAGTTATATCATTTAAGTTGAGGCAATAATTTAAAGCCATAAAGAGACATTGCTCTGAAGATTTGGCGAGAGGACATCCAGAAAATTTCAAGTGTTCAATTAGTTTGAGTGTCCTAGTTGAAACAATGCATGTATCATTATGTGTATGATTCCCTATATTTGAAAAACAGTCTCTTTTTGGCAGGTTTTATTAACCTTGGCACATCACAGAATCGCCAAATTGCTAATTTCCAATATGTTGCTCCACTCTTGGCATACTTTGATCCTTCCCTTGACGACAGCAGTAGTGTTCATCACCTTGACAGTGGTAGGGGTTTTGTTTGTGACTTAGTAAGGAATATTTCTTACAAATTATTAGGATGTGGAGCTTTAGAAAAAGCCAACTAGGCTCATTAACATGCTCAGTTGTCTTTTCTGACCTTAAATTACACGTTCAAAATTACTCAAAGTCTTGTTTTCTAGTGAAATATCAACCAGTGATAAGCTCTCTTTCAACCTGTCCAGAGAAATTAACTGGTAAAACCCTAAGCTACATGAATGCTTAAATGTAAATATTTTGTGTTGTCTGATATGAATTTATGACTTGCTCATGGTTCATGCGCACCATAAATGTCCTTGAGCATCAAATTTCGATGCTTGAAGGTCATTGGAAAGATGTTTAAGAGCAATAATGAGTTGGAAATCTTTAAATTTTGTTGTTTTTAATATTGTCCTGCAAACTTCAAATCTCTCTCAGATGGTACTGTCAGTAGATATTAATAGCTTTTTTGTTGAATGTGTCGTTCAATTATTGGATTCACATTTCTAGTTGAAAGTCATTGAAAAGATCCTTGGATTTGTATCCTATTGTTGTTCAGTGGGCAACATTTTTGAAAGCAAGTTTTACTCACTCTCCCACTAACCACTAATTTGTGCAATAATAGTTTTAGAAAAAAATGCTAATTAATTATAAAACTTAAATAAATATGATGTGCTTACATGCACATGAAAAAAAACCCTGTTCTTTTCTCCTCTTTTGCATTAGGAAATGAGTTCATTGTGCAATGGTCAGAGGTCTTACTACATGACAATCCTCAAGGTATTGAACATTGACTTCATTGGGTCTCATGTCTCATTAATTAACAATTACACCCGTAGCCCGCAAGGACTATGGGTCAATAACCCATGAGGCGAAGCCGAATGGGCTATTGAACCGTGGCCCTTGAGGGCGAAGGGTCTAACTGTTTTAGTATCACCCAACTAGTCGGACAGAAAAGGCAATA